GGGGTTGTTAACCAATGTCATAAAACAGCATGTGTGCTACTGTTACATGAGAAACTATCTGTTCTGTAAGCCTTCACCTGGAGTACAATAAAATATTTAAAAAAAAAAAAAAAAAGTCAGAGCCAAGGGATTTGCATGAATCTTTTTAGTACTTTTTGTTTGATGTTAATTAATATTGGACTTTTCTCTCTCTCTCTCTCTTTAGTTTATATATTCAAACTTTATTGTTTGATTTGGTTTTCTATAAAAATGACACTCCATTTGATGGTTAGTGTCTTGCCTTGTAAAGATTCTTTTTTTTTTTTTAATGGTACTTTAGATAAAGGTTTACAGAGCAAATTAGTTTCTCATTAAAAAATTAATACACATACTGTATTGCAACATTGGTTGCCAACCCCATGACATGTCAACATTCTCTTCTTCTCAACCTTGGGTTCCCCATTACCAGCTTTCCTGTTTCCTTCTGCCTTCTCATCCTTGCTCCTGTGTTGGTGTGCCCATTTAGTCTCCTTTTGTTTTATGGGCCTCTCTAATCTTTGGCTGAAGGGTGAACCTCAGGAGTGACTTCAGTACTGAGTTAAAAGGGTGTCCAGGGGCCTTACTCTCAGGGTTTCCCCAGTCTCTGTCAGACCAGTAAGTCTGGTCTTTTTTGTTCAGTTAGAATTTTGTTCTACATTTTGGACTTTTCTCTTTTTTGGGAGGAGAGGGAAATTGTTATTTAGGGCAACATCTAGAAAAATCAGAGGTAATCCCTGTATTATATAAAGTCTGTGCATAGCTTCTCCCTTTGAATGGAAGATAGTTTTATTCACAGGAATGATCAGGATATAGATTTTGTCTAGTTTGTTTTCCATTTAGATTCCATAAAGAATTTTTTATCAGGTACAATTTCAGTGTAGCTTGAAATAGTGCCCTTTAAAAGTAGTCGCTAACTAAATTGCATTGAATTGTATGATTTATGTATTTTTATAATATACATATATTGTATATTCTATTTTTTAAGTAAAAAGTGAACTATATTAATATGCCATATATCTACCTTCAATGCTTCAGGAAGAGTAAATTCTATTTGCCTTTTATTATATTACCGTATTACTCCACGTAATTATAAAATATGTTCCTTGCTTTAGGTAAGTTGATTAGTATCAGATCACCAAAGACAGATGGCAGAAGTGCCTTGTTCTTTGAATTCAATTTGACTGTCTTTCAAACTAATTTTCTAGATTATAAATGAAGAATTGAGTTTAAAGTATGTTACAAAAATAGTGGAAACTAGTTTGGCTGTTAAAATACAGTATAGTGTTTCTTCTGCTCAGAGTGTAGGGGATTTACTTGTTCCTATGGTGCATCAAATAAATCCTTGGTATCTTGAGAAACAGCCCTAGTGTTTATTGGCACAGGAACGGCTCTCGCTTGACAGAATTTTGATTGTTGTGTATTCTTCACTTTTGTGACCACCAGGTTCTCTAATTCAAGTACCTTCTGTTGAGAGGGGGAAACTTAGTAAAGTGCGCCTGGGTTCATTGTCTTTGAAAAAGGAAGGAGAAAGACAATGCTTCTTATTTACAAAACACTTTTTAATTTGCACAAGAAGTTCAGGAGGAAAGCTGCATCTGCTCAAGGTACTGGTTTTACATGATTATTCCGTTTGTATTCCATGCACTTAAGATGCATTTAGGTTATTATGCCTGATATCATCATGAGATGGATTGTCACTATTGCATTAAAATACTTTGATATTTACTTTGTTGTCAGTTAGCTTCAAAGTAATAGGAATTTATTTCATGTATATTACTGTAAAGAAGTACAATGAAAATCACAATCTGGATAACTAAAAAGTATTACTAGTTGATGACTATTGAGCTACAAAAATCTCTAATGACTACAGTGTACTAATGTAATATCTGCTAAATATATTCTATCTTGCTCTGTATCCTGTAAAAAAACCCGTTGCCGTTGTGTCAATCCCGACTCATAGCAACCCTATAGGATAGAGAAGAACTGCCCCATAGGGTTTCCTAGGCTATAATCTTTAGGGAAGCAGACTGCCACATTTTTCTTCCGAGGAGCAGCTGGTGGGTTCAAACCACCGACTTTTTGGTTAGCAGCTGAGTGTTTAACCACTGCACCACCAGGGCTCCTTTTTCTCTACATCAGGAGTCTGCAAATTACGGCCCCACAGCCTGCCACCTGTTTTTGTTAAAGTTTTATTGGGACAAAGCCACGTCCGTTCATTTACATATTGTCTGTGAATGCTTTCATGTTACAAGGGCAGAATTGAGTAGTTGCAATAAAGATCAGATGGCCTGTAAAGCCTGAAATATTTACTGTATGGCCCTTTACAGAAAAAAATTGCCTATGTATATTGTCTATAACTATTGCTTAAAAATATCTATCGTATTATCTATTGTCTCTGTTATTATTGCTGAAAAATATTCTCCATCATCCTGATAATAGCTTTTCTACTGTTGAAACCTTGTTCCAGTTGTTAAGTTCAGTCCCTTTGCTGAGCTGCATTTACTCTCCAAGGCCTCTAAGGTGCTCTTTAGTCTCCCATGAATGGACTTGCTAAGTTTTACAAACATAGGGAGCGAGAGTAGGCTCAGGGAGAAGAATCGTAAGTTAAATGAGTTCAATTCTTTGACACATCTAAGTTTAAGAGTCTGAAAAACGTTTTATGATGTAGAATTATGTGTTTTCTTCTGTGGCAACTTGAATATAAGATTTAAAAATTAGAGCTTCCCAGTCCATGCAAGACCCTCAGTCTCTCAATGGAAAATTGATTTGTGTCCAGGCAGGTGGGGTTCTGTCTCTAATAGAATGTACATTGATTGAGGAGCCAGACGCAAGCGACGATGACCGTAAGTCACATTCTATCACTTAGAATTACATTAGAATAAAAATAAATAAAGCCCCTTGTTTGTATTCCTTTATAGCTTAGAAGAGCTACTTAGGGAGTCGGGATAGATGCTGAGGATAAACCCCTGGATTCATTTATATATGGGAAGTCTGTCTAACCATTAAACCTGAGAGCCAAAATTTTAAACCATTTTTGGGAATTCACGTTTTACTGTATTTGTCTCATGATAGTGACTTTTTAGTGTCAGGTAGAGAAGAAAGAAAAATTTAACTAGAACGTTAGAATTCTGCAGATCATGGACATTTGAAAAAACCAAAAAACTATGAAATGAGAGGAAGGAAATCTGGATTCTAGCCATGAATAACCAATTGACCTCAGCTTCTTCATCTGCTTATGAGCTCCGTAAGGACTTCCCCATACCCGAGAAGTAGGATATTGCTGAAATGAGATTCTGTACTTGGATGTACATTGATTGTATTAATAGAACTACGTGAAAGCAGCTATCACTCATATTTTTGTTTTCACATCTGATCATTTGGTTTACGTGTGTTAAAGCCAAAGGTTCTGGGCAAGTGTTTGGCCATCTGGATTTTAAAATAGTGGTGGAGCCTCCTGATTCTGCGCCTTTCACTGTGGTCTTGCTAGCACCTTCGCGCCAGGAGAAAGCTGCCTGGACAAGTGACATAAGTCAGGTAAGCAAGCTGCTTTTTCCAGATTTATTTTCTAATTTGACAGCGTGAATTTTGGGAAGGACTTTTAGAGTTTTTTTATTTTTATAAAAATATTACATCTGGTTACTGCTGTAACTACCATCACCAGGATATGTATCTTGATATGCTGTGATCGTTTATGTTGTTGTTCTTTGTTTTTATTCTTAAGGTTAATTTTTACTCGAAATGTAGTTAACTACTCTTAGTTCCTGGGCATTTTTGTACCAGCTGCAAATGTAATCACTTGTATGTGTTAAGATTGTTCTGTTAGTAATAAATTTACCTATGACCCCACTAGATTTTTGCTTACTTCTGAAAAAAGAAAATGGTAAGAGATTTAAGGTACAAATACAACTAATAAGGGCTATGCTGAGAAATCACGAATTAAGGAATCAGTTCAGAGAAGAGATACTAATTGTAGTGTGAAATTTTAAAAGAAGCTCCTGTAGTATATATAGAAAAAAATTAGGGAAATGATTTGCTTACATTTCCTTGAACAACAACACCCATCTAGGGAATTGCTATCTAGGCAATGATATGATTTGAATATATGTCAAAACTGGTCATGATTGCCCTTGGACATTCTTAAATTTAAGCTCGACATAAATTTTGGCTCCAGTAGTTAATATAAGGGAAAAGTGGTACAGTGTAAAGAAAATGTTAAAAGAAGCCTTGATCATTATCTTCAAAACTAACATCCAGGAAAATTGAGGCAAGCAAAAAAGGAATAAACTCTAGATTTCATTGTTTTCTTTCTTCTCAAAGTAATTTATATATAAGACTTAGGTAAAAATATGAACTGTATCAGAGTTCTTTTCAGATACTTAGTTTTTTTTCTCGGTAATTGAAAACCCAGGGAAAAATAGAGAAAGAATGAACGACAGTAATAATTATTTTTGTATGTCAAAGAAGTTTTGCGAACCTAATCTCATTTGTCCCTTACAATAATATTCTGAAGGTAAACAGACGTTTGGAAGGCTGTTTGTCCAAAGTTACACAGCTGGATAATTATTCGGACTCAAACCTAGTCCAGTCTGCTTTAGAACTCTAAACAGCCTCTACCGGAAAGGCCGCTGCTGAAATTTCACTTACATACTTGCAAACCATAAAATATAGTTTTTATGGTGAATAGTGAATTCACCGTCAATAAATACACACGGCCAAGAAGGCTAGGAAATAAGAACGATTCTTTGGTGATGAATAAATAGGTACAAGTGAAGTCACTTCTTTTTTGGCTGACAATTGAAAATATGGACTCTCCCGACCTTTGAATAGGTGCATCTTTGAAGTAATTCATTAATACTTTCATTAGCTCCATGTTGTATAAATTAATGCTTTAATTAAGTATCTCCCTATCTGTGATACATCTCTTACCTTATGAAACTCTGGGTCATTCACTGATTCAACAAACATTTATTGAGCCATCACCATGTGCTGCCAGGTATCGTGTAGGTACCAGAGATACAGTGATGGTCCCTGCTCTTAAGGAAACAGACAGGCTAGTAGAGAAGAAAAGGAAGGAGACGACTTAATGCAACAAAGCTTTATAGGTGCTGTGAAGCCAAGATGAGTAGGTAGAATGGGAGTGGGCAAAGGTGTTTCTCCAGTTGCTTCTAGCTTCTCTTCTACCTAATGATGTAACTGGTACCTCTGCGACAGAGTTGATAAAAGCTTTAGGTGACCTTCTTTTCCTTAGTGTGCCTGGTAAGGCATTGCTAAAAAGAGAAATATCGCTGGGATTCATGAATGATTCTATCCCTCATCCTTTAAAGAAAGGTACCCAATGCTTTGCCTGCCTCAAGCATACGAATGAGTCTTTCTCTCTATTTAGACTACACCTTGATGCTGAAGTGTCACCTTCCTCCTTTTTTCTCTTAGTTGCTATGCCTAATATTTTGCTTAGCAAAAAATTGTACTAGATTATATCGACAACTGAATTGGAGAAAAAAGCTAACAGAAAATTATATCTTTCTGAGTGTTGATGACATCATTACATGAAATGATTATGTTGGATATAGCCTTGACATGCGTGATTTTGAAACTTGTGATTTTATTCGTTCAGCAAAGATATTATGCAGTAATACAGTGCACCAGGCGCTGTCCTAGGCTCTTGTGACATAGTGTTAACCAAAAAACAACAACAACAAATTCCTTGACCTTGTATAGTTTACATTCTAGTATGGGGAAAACAGAAAATAAACAATAAATGTAATAATTGAGCACATATTATTTTATGTTAGAGGGTGATAGGGGAGGGTAAGAAGGATCAGGCTATTGGAGGTAGGTGTGGGTAAAACCAAAAACCAAACCCATTGCCATCAAGTCGATTCCAACTCATAGTGACCCTACAGGACAGAGTGGAACTGCCCCATAGAGTTTCCAAGGAGCGGCTGGTGGATTCGAACAGCCAGCCTTTTGCTTAGCAGCCAAGCGCTTAACCACTATGCTACCAGGGCTCCAGGCGTGGGTAGGCACAGTTTTAAAAATGGTGGTCATTCCATTCTGAAGGAGACATTTTACAAAAAAAAGACAGTAGGTGAGGAAGATACAATGTGGTTATATGATGGGGATAATGTCATTCTAAACAGAGGGAACAGCCATTGCACTGCAAAAGGTCTAAAGCAGGAGGATGCTGCATATTTGAGGAATAGCATGAGAGCTGCTGTTGCTGAAGTGGGGTGTGCAAGAGGGAAAACATAAGAGAGGAAATTGTAGAGGTAACAGGTATCAGGTCTTGGAGGGCCTCTTAAGACATTGAAAGGACTTTCCCTATTACTCTGAGTCTGATGAAAAGCCATTAAAGGGTTTTGAGCAAAGGAATTTCATGATCTGACTTCACTTTTAAAAGGATTACCTTGACTACTGCATTGAGAATACGCTGTGAGTGGAGAGCAAGAGTGAAAGCAGCTAGGCAAGATAGAAGGCTATTGCGGTAATTGAGGTGAGAGACGATTAAGGTTCAGACCAGCTTGGCAGGAGTCGAGTTGGAGACAAGGATTTAAATTTTGGATTCATTTTTAAAGTAGAACCAACAGAATTTTATAATGGATTAGATATAGGATGTGAGGATAAAGAAGAGTTAAGGAGGACTCCAAAGTTTTTGGCTTTGAGCAACTGTAAGACTGGAGTTGTCATTAACTGAGGTGGGGAAGTCTGCTGGGAAAGAGGTTTTGGGGTGAAAATCAGAAGTTTAGATATGTTGAATTAGATATGTCTGAAGTCTGTTAGATATTCAAGTGGAGGTGTTAAGTAGGCAGTGGGACATAGAAGTCCAGGACTTAGGAGAAAGGTCTGAGTGGGAGGGTCCATGTCATTTAGGTAGTATTTAAGGCTGTGAGACTGTTGAGACCGCCAGTGGAGTAAGCATAGATAGAAACAGGAAGAGGGCTATGGACTGAATGAGGGGCCAGGGAGAAGAGCAAGAATAGCAAAGAGGACTAAGAAGGAACTGCCAGAGAGTTAGAGGACAGGCAAGAGGGTGTAGTGTTCTGGAAGCCAAGTGAAGAGTGAAAGAGCTGGGGAGGCAGTGATTACGTGTGGACTGCACTAAAGGCTGAGTAAGATAGTGAGCTTTCTTGGAGACTTTCTTATTTTGCTGATATGGAGTTTGAACTACAGGTGGTAGGGGCCAAATGGTCCACTACTGATTGAGCCTAGCCTGCCGCCCAGCAACCTGCATCTCAACTGGCTTTGTTCTCTCCTTAAAGCATTCTCATTTTATGGGGGGCCTGGTGGTGCAGTGGTTAAGAGCTCGGCTGCTAAACAAAAGGTAGGCAGCTCAAATCCACTAGCCATTCCTTGGAAACCCTATGAGGCTATTCTACTCTGTCCTGTAGGGTCTCTATGAGCGGAATTTACTCAACGGCGACAGGTCTGTTTGTTTGTTTGTTTTGTTATATGTTTATAAGGAGCCCTGGTTGCACAGTGGTTAAAGCACTTAGCTGCTAAACGAAAGGTCAGTGATTTGAACCCACCAACCACTCTGTGTGAGAAAGATGTGGCAGTCTGCTTGCATAAAGATTACAGCTTTGGAAACCCTATGGGGCAGTTCTACTCTGTCCTATAGGGTCGTATGAGTTGGAATTGACTCGACGGCAGTGTGTTTTTGGCTTATTGTGTGCTATATACGTACATTCTTGGAATTTGGGACACTGAAAAATATTTTTGTCACTCCCCACATATGTCTCTGGGCATATTCATTATTAATAACGATCTGCTGGATGCTTAGAAATGTACTGTTTAGTATTTTATTATGTATATGTAAAAATATGGACACAAAAGCAAGTAAAAATATTCTCAATGCCCAGCACACTAAATAAATGTTTACCTAAGTATTTTCCATTGATAACCTATATTAGAATTACCTGAGGGTATTTTTTAAAATGCAGATTCCTACATCTGCATCTCAGATGCTATTCTAAAATGCCAGGTTTAACAAGCTCCACAGGCCACTTTTGCACATTAAATTAGAGATCCTCTGCCCTAAAGAATAAGGAACCCTGGTGGTGCAGTGGTTAAGCTCTCGACTGCTAGCTGAAAGGTCAGCAGTTTGAATGCACCAGCTGCTCCGTGACAGAAAGATATGGCAATCTGGGTCCGTAAAGATTTACAGCCTGGGAAACCGTATGGGGCAGTTCTACTCTGTCCTATAGAGTCGCTATGAGTCAGAATTGACTCAGTGGTAGTGGGTTTTGGGCTCTAACGAATCAACTTTTTCTGTATCCCAAATCCTGCTGTTTATTTATAGTTTTACAATTTTGCTCTCAGTGTATATATGCATCATTTTTGCTTTTTACTTCATTTACTTCTTTTTCTATTTCTAGAAACTCTCCATATTGATTTCTTCTAATAGCAATATATATTCTATCATATTAACTTACCACTTTTCTAGCTGTTTTTGAAAAATTTGGCATATGGACTGTTTCTAGGTTTTAGCATTAATATATAATGTTAGGTGAACATCTTTGTGCAGGGAGTTTTTT